CTTTAGAATAATTATAATCCCCTTTATCTTTATAAATAATTCAGTCTTCATTCTCAAAACTTATTATAAACTATATTTATGATAAAACCTATCTTCTAGAGTATAGTTCATAATATTTGGTGCTTCCTCTGTAGATCTCACCCACCCAGAGATCCTAGTCAATTCATTTTTATTATTTTCATTTTCATTCATTTTAATTATTTTAAGGATTAGCTACCCTTGAGATATCCTGTTACCTAAATAATTTATTAGTTTATGATTATATATTACTCTTTTATTGAACTTCCAATTGACCTATATCTCAGTAAACACAACAGAGAAGATCCTTGAAAATTCTCATCTCATATTGAACTATATAATTACTGCTCTTACTATTTTCCTGCCAACAAAAATTCAGACAGAAGATTTATAAATTTTCTTACCTGGACTCAGGATTATCACATGGTCTCACACAACAAACTCTCACAGAAACTCTTTGATAATATTGTACAACAAAATCTCACATCTAATTAACTTTAAAGAGAAATTATCAAGTTATTAAATACCTTTGTATTTGAAATTAAAATTACAGTTAAATAACAGATCTACCTAGTGATTAGTATTCTTTCTGTTCTTGAAGAAACAGATAATTTTGAAACCCTCTCAACTAATCAGCCCACAGAATCAAAATATGAAAGTAATAGTTCAGAAGATCCTGAAGAACCAACAGTTATAATTGAACAAATTCAACCTCAAAAGTCCTAATCCAAGAAAGAAATTACCATGTCAGATGAAATAGATAGTCTCATTCAAGCTCTTGGAGAATTAACTCAATCCATGAAGATACAAAGAATGGAGAAAATCCTTATCCCAATTCATAAATTTAAGGGTAATGATTAGGATCTAATCAAATAGTTATATGACTTTGAAGTAACCACAAAAGCCAATGGAATTACTAATAACAGAAAGATCAAGATAGTAAGAGGATACCTAGAGAAACCAGCTGCTGTTTGATTTGATCAATAAGCTATAAATAATGATCTTAAGTTAGACAACTGGGAAAATAAAAATCATGATGAACATGACTTTACTCACTAATTTATTCTTAAATTTTGTTTGTTTCATAAGATGTAATAGTGGCAAGATGAATTGGAATCCTTGAAGCAAATTGGAACTGTAGAAGAATACACTAATTGATTCATGAAACTAGGAAGTAAAGTAGATCCAAAGAATAATTATCCAGAAGAATACAAAATTCGAATTATCAAGAAAGAACTCAAATCTGAAATTCAAAAATAGGTTAATTTAAATACTGATAATACTATGAAAAGTATTATTAAAACTGCCAAAAATATAGAAGAAGCTGATTCAGATCCACTTGAATAGATATATCATCAAATGCAAGCCTAACCAACTGGTAAATGGAGTGCTCTTACTAAGGTTTTGCAAGATTTGACCAGTAGGTTAGATTGTGTAGAATCTGGAAGAAGGTATAATAATCAGAATAATAATAATAATTAATAACAAAATCAGCCAAGAGATCAATCTACTATTATTTGTTATACTTGTGGAGGAAAAGGGCATATTAGTAGATATTGTTCAAATAATATTTAGTCTACAAATTAGTAGTTTAATAATTAAAATACTTCTCAAAACTGGAATAATCGAAATCAGAATAATAACAGTAATAATAATAATCAGCAGAATCAGAACATCCAAAATCATAATCAGCAATCCAATAATTCACAAAACCTGGATACTACTTCTCTTCTCGCTCAAATTCAGAATTTAACAGCTGCTCTGCAAGCATCTGGAAATGGTCCATCTAGTGATTCATCTACTCAATCTAGTTCTTCATTACTAGCAACTCATGATTACCTTGCTGGAGAAAGAAAACGTCAAAGAATTGTCAAAGAAGAAGAAGAAAGTGAAAAAGAAAAAGAAGTTACTCAGCCTTTACCTGAAGTACCTGAAGAAGACAAGACTAACTTGGAGAAAAAGAAATGAAAGAAAGGAAGAGCACATCTTCCAATTCTAGCCAAACATGCAGAAACCTATGATATACTTGAAGATTTAGCCTCACAAAAAGCCAATATCACTATTGCCCAGCTTATCAAAACATTACCCAAACAAAGAATTCAAATGTCAAAAGGAATGAGAAAGGAATCACAAAAAAAACTTAAACGAAAAACAATATTCACCTAGAAGATCAAGACAACCTCAGTCTGGTGTGAAGCCAAAGTAGGAAAGACCCCTGTAGACTTAATCATAGATACTGGAGCATCAGGATGTGTCATCAGTCATGAATTTCTCAAATGATTAGGAATGAAAATTCAACGAAAATCAAATATCTCTATGTCTGATATTAATAGACATTCCAAGCAACTATTAGGAGCTATTGATAACTTCCCTATCACCATTGATAGAATCGTAATTCCAGCTGAAGTGGATGTTACAGAAGCTCAAACCTACAGTCTTGTAGTAGGAATGGACTGGCTAAACAAGATTAATGCTAAAATTGACTTAAAGAAGAATATAATGATCTTTGATTAGAATGGGAAAGAAGGAAAAGTATTAATCAAATTCATCCATGGACAACGAAATATTAAACCTGAAGATAGTGATAGTGATATAGAAACATCCTCCAGTGAAACTTCAGATGATGAGTTCGAAATTGAAGATCAAAACCTAAAAGATCGTAATTTTCTATGGTGGACATCTGATAAATCTTGGACTCAAATTCATACTTCATCTAGATGACTTAATGATGTAGACTTTGGAAAAGTTTCTCATCTGACCATAAACTCGATTCCTAAAGTTAGAAATGTCAAAATCTTTGAGAAAGGAATACAAGTTAAGGATATCACTCTCACCTGAGAAGAATACTCGAAATTGGAAAGAAGATTTCAACAGACTCACTATCAAAGTTCTCAGTGGACTTTTGACTGGAGAGGTCCTGCAGCTGAATGTTGGTGTCATCATAAATTACCAACACCCAAACATGAATGTCC